TTTTTTTTTTTTTTTTTTTTTTCATATAGAAAATATTCATTTACGTAACTGAATAATAACTTATAAATACGAAGTCATAATTAATTATACGCCCAATAAAAAATTAGAAATAATTTATAACTATATATATAAACCGGGGAGATTACATATTTCATATTACATTATGTTATATCATAAATATAACACACATATATTTTAAAATAGAATAAAACATAATATATTAAATAAAAATATTATATAACTTAAGACAGTAGAATATAATTTATATTTTGCATTTTTTTATTATGTATGCTTTTGTTACGTTGGACGTATGCAATATCAAATAACATAATACAATGCATTAATACATTGTATTTTATTCGTTTCTGATATTGTACGATATTCTATTTTACTTTATATTGTATCATATATTTTATTGTATTTTATTATTTCAAATTATGTTATATTTTTTATAATATATTTATATATTATATTATATAATGCTGCATTGTAATATTGAATTACATAATTCGATACACACGTATATATAGAAGTATATAATTTAATATTTTGTAAAACGAATATATTGTAAAACTTTATATATTGTATATTGTATATGTTATATTGTGTATTAAAATAAAGTATAAATAAAAGTATATTTATTATAACAAATTAATTTTTTTTGAGTCCTTCAGGTTCGAATTTCCCGTCAAACTTCGAATATCTCTTTACAGATTATGTTCTCCTGATACCAAAAGGCGAAAATCTATGAAACTGAATTCTCAAAGTTTGAATTTCCCGCTTTATGTTCTCCTGATACTAAAACGCCAAAAACGGATAAATGAAATATTATAAATTTGTATTAAAAGAAAATAATGCGCAAGGAGATATCGCGGTATGAGGAAGTAATAAATGTCAAGGACAGGCGTAAAAATTCCTCTTTTTGTAATAGAAAAGAGTACTTATTTTATAATTAAAATAATGTTACAATAATATGTATATTTTAGAAATAATAATATTATAAAATTCATATAATAATAATATGCTACATAATAGTTAACTAGTTTTATATATAATATATTCGTTTTGCAAAATATTGAAATATGTGCTTCTATATATATGTGTCGAATTATGTAATTCAATATTACAATAATATTATAATGCAATATTATATAATTCAATAATATTTAACTCGATAAATATTTTGTATTCAATAAGTTATATATTATTGAATTATATATTACAATACGATAACGGTAATAACGATAATAGAAAAAATAATAAGGACAAATCTAATTTAGTGATACAAGTTATGAATGCTGAAGTAGATACAAATACATTGCGTCTATCCCGTTTTCTATGCACACAGTACATAGAAGAAGGGCGTTCTTATAATGTGCTATGTATAATTACTATTCGTACCTCAAATTTATACAAATGAAAAGTAGATGAAATATAATAAAATGTTTTTTTTCATAAAACTTCTTATAAAGAAGAAACGGACCTCGAAAGTCCGTTTCAACCATTAAACGTAGAAAAAAACATAAAAAAAATACATACTTCTTATTATATTGCCTATCGCATATTCTATATCCTATCGTATTCTATATTCAAAGTTCCGTCAAAATAGATCTTTTTCAAACGTCGCCTTACGAGTATCTTCCGGTAATTGATTGAACGTATAAAATGCACTTATCAGGAATCTCGAAGGTTTATGCGAAGGAGCGCCGCGTACTCAAGACGAGTATCCTCAAATTACGATATCACGCTAACAATGTGCCGATACCGCGTCACGAACAATACTATTCGCTCGCTCGAGGGACTTGCCCGGTTATCGACCGATGAAAATTATCGGCGCTCCACAGGGTAGGGATAAATCGTCTAGCCGTCGACGACTCCGAGATGTCGACGGACGCTCGCTCGTACCCCGGAGACATCCCGCGGCCGACAGGTCGCGGTCGAAGAGGAGCAGCGCGAGGAGGCCAGAAGAGTGGAAGTCGCTTCCCGTTATTTACATCGGACCCCGAAGCTCCGGTAAGCAGGCAGTATCCGAAGGTGGTATCCGCGCGCGGGATTACAAAGTAACCGATGAAGGAACGGACGGTCGAAGGGATCGAGATGCAGCCGGGCGATACGCTAATGCCACGTCTGCAATGGCATTATAATACGGTGCACTCTCCTCTTCGTCCTCCTCCTGCTCTTCCTCTTTCTCTTCCTCCTCCTCTTGATCCATGGTACATACGGTTTATCGAGTCCGCCGAACGCGGAGCGTTCGGCGCTACGCCGATAAACGCGAATATCCGCGGTAGGATTCGACGCTGCCACGCGTGATTGGCCGCTAGTGTACGGTACGGTATGGACGAAACCGCATTAAAACGGCTTTGCATCTCGATTCGAGACGCTGTCTGCGATCACGTCCGGGTCTCGATTTTGTTTCTCACTGTCACTGTGCGCGCTGGTTTCCTCTGACCCTGACGCAGTGGCGTAGAATGTCCTCCATGGTCGGATGCTTCGCAGCGATTTAACACTCATCGTCTGCAACAAGATAACTTTCTCTATTGTCATTTGTATACTTCACGTAAAATATATTATGTAAGAATCGCAAATTGTAGTTCCGCATCGTTTGCGGGAGACATTGCGCGCGATCGACGCGCGTTTATAGTAGAAATAGAGAAGTAGGATGTGTTGCGAAATGTTTAATCTTAGCTATGTATACGCGCTTGCCATCGATCGTTCTAAAGGACGGCAGCGTCGAAATGCCGGGCGAGATTTGTCCCCGGCGCGTGAAATTTATAACATTTCGGTCGCGATACCGTCCACGTTTCGCCCGCGGACAAGGTACGATGAGGGGGCGCGAGTTGAAAAAACAAACCGATCGCACGGACACGAGTAGCATTTACAAGCACTCGTCGTAGCGGAGAGTGAGCCGATAGTACTGGTATTACCGCCCACGTGTGTGTCGTGTGTACGAGCGAGACTGAAAAGTGTATCATTGACTAACGAGCGTTGATAGCCTTTTATCGTTTCGAAGCCGTCGCGGCTACCGGTTCGGCGGTCAACACCGTCGATTGCCCCTAACGTATTTACCGTATATACCGTCACGTAGAAGTAACGTCCGCTAAACAAACGCCGGGCACGGCGAAGCACGGCGTATAATAAAACCGACCTATCGACCTTCGTAATTACACGCTTTAGAGCGCAATTAGTTTCCGCAACGCGCGCCCGTCCAACGACCGCCGTCTAACAGTACTCGAAGTCGACTACGTGAGAGAGCGAACGCCGAATTCCACCGAGAGCGGCGATGCCGCACGGTCTCGCGGAAACAATCGATTTAATTCAATTTTCAGTCTGCGCGCGTTACGTAAATCGTCGGACTGTCGTCCCTCGCGATGGCATACGTACCGTCCATATGCGCGATGCAAGAGTGGGACCTCGAATTTGTACAAGGATTAAAAGATCCCTTCTTTTTCGTAGGGGAGTACCGAGTGCGACCTCTTTGTATTGCTTCTGCGCGCGTTATCGCCGAGAATTCTGCCCGTTGATTTTATTTCATCAAAGAAAAACGACTAAACAAGTTCTATCTGAACTTTGTTACCGATTTAAGATCAGCGTCTTACTGTAACAAACCGCTTAATTATATCTGCGGAAACAATATTAATAAAGCAAAACTCAAAATAAAATTTATTATTTCCGCGAGAGAAACCTGCGCGAGTTAATTCGTGCTTGACGTATGAAGCGGAGAATCTTTCCGCACACTGATTACGATATAACTCTAATTCGTGTTAACGCGAGCTCGCTCAGAGATTGAATAAAGTGTCGAAGAAACTCGGTACTATGTGTGATAGAGGCAACGTTTTGTTTCGTCTTGCGTTTCGTTTTGTTTCGTATATGCGAAAAATGTCGGAATGAAATGAGGAGGAGAAAGGCGACGGCGAGATGTACTCTCTCCCGAAATCGACTGTTCGCCGAGGAATGAGTACGCGGTGCGCGCAATAGTAAAGGAGTCCCTGGAGACAATAGCGGGCTCGGCTCTTAGGAGAGACCTTTCGCGCCCGCGTTTACAACTATTTATTCCCCGCACAAGCACCCACCCGCGTCTCTCAAGCCGCGGTTCTGCCCGCACAGTCTCGCACAGTGTGTTGCACTGTGATCCACCACATACGCTGGCAATAATAAATGTTGCGCTATACATACGGTAGGACGTGGTGTACGTGTCCGCGCCACGCTTGCTGTGTTCCGACTTCGGCTTTCTAATCGGCGCGGAACACAATGCGACTACAGACAGAGACGCCGGTCTTCGTGCCGGCGGCTGAGGTGCTTTCGGTTTCCGCCGGACGTCGTAAAGTCCCGCCGTTTTTGCAGAATGCATCGCGGCGCACGGGGAAAAATGGTTGATGCATCTACACGATGAATTCCATGCTTAGTAAGTGATTAGCGATAGCAGACAGAGTTGTCTTTGGGACTTTATAAGACGACCACCATTTATAATGATTCTTTGTTTCCAACATCTTCCTTACGTTGCAGCATGTTAAACATGTGCTACAGTTGGAACGGACTCGTTTCCAACTGAAGGCATACGGTGAAGAATATTTTAAAACACGGTGCATTAATGTTAAAGATACAATCGTCCGGTTCTCTTTCTTTGGTATTCAAAAAATAATCATTGATTTATGTGTCTTCAACATATGGAATTTTATTACTTCGTCCATATTAGATAGGTTAAGTAGATCGTCTGTGTTAAACGATTTGATAAAGATGAGATAACAATGTATACGTTAAAAGTAAAGAATACGAATTGTATACGTTAAAAGTAAAGAATACCTTTATAAATCTATAGTCAATTCATACGTATGAAGAGAAGAGAACCGGATTATGTCGGATTATGATTACGAACGGTTTCGATTACGAACGAGTCCGCTTTAATGGTTGTATATGTTTGGCATTCTGTAATGTAAGGAGCGGTATGATAATTTACAAGGACATAAAATGACGCAAGTCCATGTTTTCGATCCGCGGCTGATCGCACACGACCTGTCGAAACGCAAAAGGACAAGTCGGACGCAATTACGTATGTGTATGTAAACACACGGCTAAGTGAAGGGTTAGAGAGCCGGTGCTTTGGATTAGTAATCATCGAGATTAGTACCTGATACAGCGATAACCATTGGTTCTCGGGTAGCAAATTCGTGTTGCGGTTCTCGCGCGCGCATTTGACTTCCTGGTTATCTATCGCGCAACGCGTCCAGCACAGGAAGCGCAATTACGCGTTATGTAATATCGACGGACATATTCAGGAGAGGAATAGATCCACACAAACGAAAGACACGTGAGAGCAGATGGTGGACCACGCGGAAACGTTCCTCATCGCCGATACGATTCCCTTTCACTTCGCGGGACGTTTTGTGCCGCAGGTATCGAATTGCGTGCGTCGCGCCGATGGCGCGCGACGGTGAAAACGAATCGCCTTCTCTCCTTGGCCTTTGCGAAATGCGCGCGAGACTTCGTGAAGCCGCGAGACTCGGCGAAGCACCGCGGGAGAAATCGATCGCGAGAGCACGCGATATGCACCCTGGATGCTTCGATCCGCGATGGAAGAAACGTGGCGCCGGAATGAATTGTGTCTGAACGATAGCGAATCTCCCGAATGGCGACGGGTCCGTTTCAATTGCCGCTGTTAATTACACGGTTCGCCTCGACGCGCAGTATTGTAACGTCACGCACGGAAATCGCGAAGTTTAGTCCACCGTGAAGTGAACGGAGGAGTTTGCGCAACGGAGAGAGAATATCATATTCTTTCTTTCATATACAGATTTTTTTAAATTTTACTATGTTTCTTTAATTCAAAAATGTACAAAGACTATCAGTGAAGTCTATCTTACTAAAAAATATACATATAGTAAATTTTTTAACATAAAAAATAATCGGTTATTGCACGGAAAAAAGGGTTTGGTTGAATTAACCAAATATCTGATCGAATATAAACGATCCAGAAATTTCGATTGAAGTAACCCGAATTCTATTTAAGTTAACAAGATTTTTGGTTAACTTAAACAGAATTCGGGTTACTTTAATCGGAATTTCTGGATCATTCATATTCGACCAGATATTTGGTTAATTCAACCAAACCTTTTTTTCCGTGTGCAGAATGTCGATCTATCTCTTATAAAATTGTGTATAGTGGTTTTTGCTATAAAATTCTTTCCATATAATTATATTAACCTTTTGCACTCGTCTATCTGTTCTCGTATATAATCTATATGTAAATCTCATATATAAAATTATATATAAATTTTATATATAATCAGGAGATATATACAAGAAACCGTGACAAAATCTTACAATATTAAAATTTACTAAATTATCTTTCTTCCTTACCTTATATTCTACACAAAGGACAGATGAGAGAAAAAGGATTATTGCAAGCTCACTGTTACACAGATTTCAAATTGTTACAAGTGCAAAGGACTGAATAATAGACGCCTTCTTTATTTTTCTGTCTCGGCAAAGACGTAAACGTGGGATTTACCAGGAACACTTCGACGAGGCGGACTAATTGTTCGCACGACGGAGCGTCACTTCAGCAACAGCGGCGAGCCCGCCGGCGGCAGCTTTGGATTCCATTCCGGATAAACGGAATAGCAAGTGTTAATGCCAATTACAATGCAATGTGCGCGTCGAACGGTGAGCTTTATTCGGCCGCTACGCCACTGTATAAGCGCGTTTACGATCCTAACGTGGGCTGGGTTTACTTAGCTGGGTTATGCACCCGGGGAGAATATATGCGCGGGCTTGTATGTGTGTGTGTGTACACACGGCGTGCACGAGTTAGCTGCTAGACGACCATTATGCGCCCCGTAGTTTCGTTCCGTCGTCGGCGTATGATTTGGAACACGTGCGACGCTAAAGATCGTTAGGCTTCGGCTTTTTGTCGCCGCGCGCGGGAGCTTTGAGATGGTAGATGCCAGTTGGTTGATGCCAGAAAGGCTGGTTTCGTCGTGTATATATGTATATATTGAAAAGTATTCGGTCGCGTGTACAGAAAAAAGAAACTATTAAGTTAACAGAATATCTGGTGAAATGTGAACAAACTAGAATTCCGGCTAATGTTACTACTATTTCGTTCAAGTTAACAAAATTCAGAACTATCTCTTATTTGGTTAACCAGAATCTTGTTAACTTGAACGGAATTCTGGTTTATATCTCATCAGATGTTTAGTTAATCTAACCAAATATTATTTTCTGTTGTAACAAGTAATTTTCAATTTTTCAGATAAAACGCGAGGCAATCGTATTTTTATGACTTTATAATGTTGCGAAGCAATGTATGCGCTGTTTTGATCTATGATCGAGATCTTTCGCGCACATTGTTTCATAATATCGTACACAGAAAAAAAGGTTTGGTTAAATTAACCAAATATCTAATCGAATATAAACGATCCAGAAATTCCGATTGAAGTAACTCGAATTCTGTTTAAATCAACCAAAAATCTTGTTAACTTAAACAGAATTCGTGTTACTTCAATCGGAATTTCTGG